ATTCCCCAGAGGTGAAATGAACACGGGAACAAGGTCAACAGCCAGTATGCCGTCACACTTCAGCGTTCTAATGGTGCCTGGAGACGCTTACGCTAGCATAGCTTTTGCTTTCCGTTTAAAAAAGCTCTCAAGTGTTATAGCTTTGGCGACATACTGCTGAAGCACTCTGATGGCTAACAAGGTTAGCTGAGAAGACGACTGAGCAACCACAGTTAATGCTGCAGCTTTTTGTTGTATAATATTATATTAGATATTAAACTAGAGCAAGTCTTACACTGGATTTGAGTGTAAAGGCCTCTTATAAGGATTTGTAACCTTGTGAGATTTCACTAGGCTTCCAGCCCGGAAAGATAGTGAATAGTAAAGGCTTGTACTGAGATTTCAGTCCTCTGTGCCATGCTCTGTAGTAGTGAAACCTCTCTCATTACAGTGTTACACTGCTATGCTCTGTGTTAATCTAGGCCACTGACTGAAGAACCGACAGAACTCATATTTGTGCCAGAGGACGCGCTAAACTCTGCCCAATAACGAGACTCTGTAGCTGACAGTGAACTTTCAGTGAAGAAATAATGAACCAAATAAGAGCCACTGGCAGAAACACAGTCCTGTGTATACTCTAATCATTTTTGTATGTCTTTCTAGAACACTGATTTGGAGAGAGCTGTGAGCCAAGTCAACATCATGATATCAATAATGGTTTTGCTTTTCAGGTATTCTGCAGAATACTGTCCCAAATATTGAAAATCCTGTAAAAAAGCTCAAGACTTAATTCATCATAGTAGTCTAATAACAAAAAAACTATCAGCGTACAAATCTTATGTTCATTAAATCATTTCATTAAATCAGATCAGTTCATTAAATCTAAACAAAGAGCTTAAAGTTAGCTTAAAGTTATAATTACAGCTTATAAGTTAGCTTATAAGTTATAAATAAAGAGATCAGTTCATTAAAACTAAACAAAGAGCTTAAAGTTAGCTTAAAGTTATAATTACAGCTTATAAGTTAGCTTATAAGTTATAAATAAAGAGCTTAAACTTAAAGCCAAATTGCTTACTTAAATGATCAAATGTGATTGTGATGTGATTGATGTAATGTGTTTAGAAATGTAATTTAACAATTACTCATTTCTAGTTGTCAATTCACATTCAGTTTTTTTTATTGACTTATTGTATAACCATGTGATGACCTTGCATGTTAATGGTAGTTTTGTGGTATGAAAGGTAAGTATTGCTCGAAAGAACATGGGGATAAATGATAAATGTCCTGAAAGACACACATTTCCTGCTGCTCCAGAGAGAAAGCTAACTAGCAAGCTCTCATTTATTGAATTCAACTTTAGCATTTTGGAAATGCTAGCTAGCGGACCAGAGCACTATAAGAAATCAGATTGCATGTGGCTCTGAGAGTCTTTAACTTAGAGGTCTAAATTCGTAATTCAGAATTACATCATTTTCGATCTCCGTGCATTCAAGCTACAACATTGGGTGCCCTAATGTGTTAGCAACAAACTAACTAGCTAACTGTGATGAGTGATGTATATTTACCTTTCAAAACAGCAATCTGTAGAATCAGTGTTATAGATTTAACAAGCAAATATGTTGATTGATCTAAAGCAAGTACTTGGATATACAGTATAACTCATTTAAAGGTAAGAAGTGCTGCTTTGTTTACTACTGATGCTATGAGCGGCCATGTTGATATGACGTCACTTGCTGAACTTGGAGGAACTTAGAATTGAAGAGATCATTTCTTGCCGAGGGGGCATTTTCTTTGGATTTCCCTGGCCAGATTTCGGGAATTATGAGTTACAGCCTCTAGTCGAATGTTCTATG